TTACGGTATAATATTCGAAATTAAACAAAAAAATTCTTTTACGTATCTATTTTTTATTGCATTACAATTAACTATGCCACATTAACATGTTGCTACGTACGTACGTAAAGAAATTATAATAATACAAAAAAAGCAATATAATAATTACAGCAAATGGTAGCGCAATACGTACGTAGCAATGACGGTAACAATTAATATATAAAGTATCTTATACGTATCGTATTAAAATTGAGGGATTATGCACGATAACGGGCCCTTTAAAATTGCCTTCTGGCCCTATCTCCATTATTAGCTTGAACTATATAAAATTAACATTTCAAAGGCTGTGTTCAAAAATCTAAAAATCGTCAGCGCGAGCGACGTAGTTTGATAAAATTTTGTCAAAAATTTAATCTATATACGTACGTATAAAAAAGAAGGCTATTAAATTTGTAATTGACCAATCATAAGAAAGTTATATAATTGTATATAACAGATAATTGGATATGGGTCGTAAGAAGTTGCGTATACGTACGTACGTACGTACACTTATCAAGCTACATAACTTACAGAAGTTATAAAATTGTATAATTGAAACTGCACGTTTTTTTCAAAGATCGGAAACCCGTTTTTATGAGACTTATTCCAAATTTTCTTTAAATGTTAAAACTTTTAAGTTAAAAACCAAAAAAAAAAAAGCCAAGTCTAATTGTGTTCACATTTAAACAAAATTTTAACATTAATGACTCACAAATAATACGGCCGAGACAACCTAGAACAAAAGTGTTCTATTAGGACAATAATCTTGGCTTTATCTAAAAATATCACAAAAATAGCCGCAGTTCTATATAGATGAAAATTATAAAAGGGGAAACTTGTACATCAACACACTCTCGCTTTGATATTTTTATTTATTTAAAATCTTTATAAAAAATGTCTGCACCGCCGCCACCACCACCACCTCCTCCAGCACCGACACCCTCATCAAGCGGTAGAAATGCTCTATTTTCAGATATTCAAAAGGGGAAAAAGTTGAAAAAGGTAGTGACACATGACAGATCTAAACCCATATTAGACGTTGGTGAGTTTAGTCTTAAAGTCTAATATAGATATTTATGGGATCTCAATTTAAATAAAAAAGCTTTCGCCTTCAAAATATTGGGTTTTGGGTTTTATATTTCACTTTTGTGACAAACTTGACTTGCAATTTTACATATAGAAATTTTCTTTAATCATTTATAGGAAGTAGCTCAGTTACAACTAGTAGTGCTAAAGGCCGCTCTGTGTCTGCTGGCAATGGTGGTAGTGCCAATGTGCCCACGCCTGTTGGCCTTGGTGGCTTGTTTGCAGGCGGTGTACCAAAATTGAAGAGTCGTAATAATGCAGTTGAAACTGATAAAGAAAATGGTGACTTTTCACGTTAGAATTTTTATATACTAAATTGTTGTATACAGCATAGAATTAATCATAAATTTATTTCTTTTAGGTTTAGCCGCACCTCCTCCTTTACCAGGTGGACGTCCAAGGGCTCCGAGTGGTGATAATCGCGCAGTTAGCCTAGTTATTCCTCCTGTTACATTAAATAAAAATACAGTTCCAAAGAATCTTGTTAAGACCATAGCATCTAATGTAGACACTTCGAT